TTGTATGCTGTTGCCTGCTATATAACACTTCCGTAGCCCATCTCCACCACTCTGAGCTTTGAAAAGAAGATATGTGCTGTCACAACCCAGACCATTCTATGATTCTATGATTCGACAATCATCAACAAAGTCATGGGAAAGACAGCAGCAGCAGTGGGAGTCTCCCAGAACTGTCCCCAGATCACCAGCAACTGACCCTGACTTCCCTCCAAATCATCACCCCAACAAAGAATGAACTTTGATGAAACCAGATGAGCTCAGCAGTGACCAGATGAGTTCAGCGATGTCAGCAGGCAACAATCCAACACCACACACAGTCTCTCCTGCCCTGAAAGACTGTTACAAGAGATGGAGCCTGACAACATCATGGACTGGATGAATTCAGCAAACTTTATAGGGATGGTCCCTGGACTAAGGAATGATATCTTTGTGTGTTTGTGTATATTATATGCGAGACAAAAAGCAATGGTATTTTGAAAAAAATGTGGGATTTGAGCATGATGTGAATGGTGTGGAATAAGGGGTGGATACTGTCCACAGCTGTAACATTTTTTTTCTCCGTCTTAGTAGCTGGTGCAGTGCTGTGTTTTTTACTTCAGTCTGAGAACAATGCTGATAACACACCAATGTTTTAGTTGTTGCTCGGTAGCACTTACCCCAATCAAGGACTTCTCAATCTCACGCTATGCCACTGAGGAGGGGCACGGGAAGCCAGGAGGAAGCAGAGATGGGATACCTGACCCAAACTAGTCAAAGGGGTATTCCATACCACAGCACATCATGCCCAGTATATAAACTGGGGGGAGTCACCTGGAAGGCCCAGATCACTGATGGGGTCAGGCTGGGTATCAGTTGGCAAGTGATAAGCAATTGTACTGGGCATCACTTGTGCTTACTGTTTTCTTTTCCTTTTCCCCTTTTAGTTTCATATTCTTTTGGGGGGATGGAGGCATGGACCCAGAGCATCTTCATGCAGTGAATCACTTTATTGGCTACTGCTCTAACTTTTTATACCATTCTAACAACACTTATTTTTAGCCTATTGCTTTAGCTTTTATACCATTCTATTTGTATGTTTAGTTCCTGACTTATAGTTTGTTTTTTAACACTGCTCGCTTTCTCACTAGCCAGTCTCTTATCTTTATGCTCTCTCCTCCTCAGCCAGGTGTCTTGGTATCTTATGCTCTCTCCTCCTCAGTGAGCTGGGTTGCTCTGCTTGATTGTACTTTGTTTCTTCTTTAACTCTTCTCCAGCCAAGCAGTTACTTCTCTTTGGCAATAATCATATAGTTTCCATTGTCTCCCACATTCTTTCCCCTTGTTATTTCCCTTATCATTATTATTATTAGTGGTAGTAGTTTTGCATTATATTAGTTATTGGACTGTTCTTATCTCAACCTGTGGGATTTACATTCCCCAGGCATTGGCCTGCATGTCCCAAGCACCTTTGAACCCAGTGCCCAATTTCACCCTGTGTTGTGGTTTAAGCCCAGCTGGTCACTTGGAACCATGCAGCCACTCGCTCACTGCCCCCGCTTCTTCCTCCACCTGCTCCCAGAGGGATGGGGAGGAGAATTGGAAGAATGTAACTCCCACGGGTTGGTATAAGAGCAGTACAGTAACCAAGGTATAATACAAACCACTACTGCTACCAATAATAATGATAATGGAAATAACAAGGGGATAGGATACAATTGCTTACCACCAGCTGACTGATACCCAGCCCAGCCCGAGCAGTGATCTGGGCCTTCCGGGTAACTCCCCCAGTTTATATACTGGGCATGACGTGCTGTGGGATGGAATATACCCCCGTGGCCAATTTGGGTCTGGTGTCCTGTCTCTGCTTCCTCCCGGCTTCCCCTCCTCCCTGGCAGAGCATGAGACTGAGAAAGTCCTTGGTCAGAATAAACAGTACTTAGCAACAACTAAAAATCGGTGTTATCAGCATTGTTCCCAGACTGAAAGTCAAAAACACAGCACTGCACCAGCTACTAAGAAGGAGAAAAAATGACTGCTGTGGCTGAACCCAGGACAACCCTGTTAGTCCTCACCAGGATTCCAGGGGAGAGGTCCCAGACCTGCGGTCTCGCCCTTGGAAAAGCTTCAATCAAAGCTTCAGATTTTATTCTGTGCTGGATCAGCCTTGGAGCAGACCTGTAGGAAACCAGGTTTCCTTACTGCAGTGCTGCTGTAAATAAAGCACCTTCTAGTGCGGAGCAAGGTCACCCAGCTCACCTCCCCACTGCTTGGTCCCATGGCTCCCACCATCACAAAGGTCAAACCAGTAGGAAAACAGAGCTTTACTGGGGAAAGCAGCTTCGTACAATGAACAACTGCAGCAATGCGCCCAAAAAAATTGCTCTACCATGTCCAAGAGTGGCAAGAGGGAAGCAGGAGGGTTGGGGAGAACACAGAACTCCCTCCAACAGCACCCTTCTCCAGGGTCTCCCTCACGCCAAATTCGGGCTTGGGACATTGGCTAAGGAGGAGAGAAAGAGGAAAAACCTCATCCTTTCACCCTCCCTATCTCCCCATCTCACCCCATCCACACCTCGCACAATGACTGGCCCCTGCAGGCTTTCCCCTGCCCTAACTGTGCTACCTGCATGATATTTGCATGTGCAAATCAGAGGGTTCATTTGCATGTGTGTCCTCATCAGCTCCTGTTAAAACACTGCACCCCACTCCAGCCTCGGCACTGGGGTCCCACTCACACTGTGACAGGCACTGGCTGCAGCTTGGCTACGGCACCAGACTATGGCTCATGGTCTGGTTCATAGAGCCACACAGTCATGCCAGCTTAATCCCTCCAGCACAGCTCCACTGCTCGCCCCTCGCACAGCCAAAAAACGGGATAGAGGGGCTCGGTGAAGACATCGTGGAAGGAGTGGATGAGCCATGTCCTCTCCCCGAGCCCATAGAAGGAGAGGAGCCCCTTGCCATAATCCAGGCTGACCCCCAGGTTCCTACACAGCTGTTCCTGGATTTTCTCTAGCTGGCCATTGTGCCAGGCCAGGTAGCAATCCTCCCGCACCTGCAGCCCCCATGAGCCCCTGTCCAGACCGATGTTGAACTTGTGTCCCTGCTTCCACTCCTGGCAGAGGCTGCGGTAGGTCACCCCCAGGACAACGGAGTGGCTGGAGATCTTCACCTCCCAGTAGTGGTGGCCATGGCTGTAGCCCTGTGCGCACAGCACCTGCCAGGGCTCAAAGCGGGGTCCCTGCTCCTGCTGCCTGCAGATAGTGCCAGGCCTGTGCTTGGCTTTCCGGTTTCCTTTTGACAGCTCCAGGTACTTGTTGGCCGTCTTGGGATCAAAGGTCAGGTTGCGGTGGTCTGGAAGAGCAACAGCATGAATGGGGCTGAAATGCTTCATCAGACCTTTATGCCCTTGGCATGATTCCCCCAAACAGTGTTGCGGTTTAAACTGCATAGGGCTGGCACCCAAAATAGAAGGGAGCAAGTTGTAGTGTGTTTGGAGGGGAAGGGAAGCAGGGTGAGATGCAAAACCTGCCCACGTGCCTCCTCAAAGGAAGCCCAGAAATAACTGGTGAGGCACCAAGATGCAATGCTTCGTGCTTTTCTTGCACAGCCCAGCTCAGCGCCAGTGAGAGTCGTGGCTCTGTGATCATTTTGGAAGAGGTGTGCTTAGTTGTAAGAGCAAAAAAGATGAGTGTGGGTGGGGAGAGAGGGATTAAGGCATTAAGTGAGCAAATACGGTATTGTGGGGAGTCACTCTCCTGCATGGGCTGTGGTAAATTCTTGGACCATGGGTACTCACTGCACCAGCACCTCACCTTCCTCCTGCAACACCCCAGCCTGGCCAGGTACGCTGGGCTGAAGTTGCTGCCCAGAAATAACTTTTTTCTTTTTTCAGTTAATAACCCTGAGAATGTTTTGGGGGGCCTGATGGAAAGAATCCTTGCACGTCCCAGGGACATCAATTGTCTCCCTGGCAAGAGTGACATGACCAACATGCCATAAACATTATCCAGCCCTCTTTCCAACAGGGAGGAAATGGGAAAAGAGGAAATCCCTAAGGAATTAGAGTGGGATGGGCCCAAAGAGGGAAAGCAGAGTTGAAGGACTGTGGCTGGCAGCGCTGGGGCCATATCCCTAGATAGAGCACTCACTGCAGGCAGGATCTGGACTGGTGCTGTGCTATGCGGGGCAGCTCATGGCCCAGCCTGGGGTGATCACTTGCCAGCTGCTACACTGCCTGCAGGAAAGGACTGTGTTTACATATGGGTCATCAGGAACAGGCAGCAGAGACACCCAAGGAGGGTGAAAAGAGAGGATGGGGATGAGGCAAGATCCAGATCAGTGGCTGACCCAATGCCAGGCACTGGCAGCCTCTGTTTTCATGGGAAAGTGTTCCCTGGTGCAGCTAATCCTCCTCATGTCCCTTTCGCAGCTGTGTAGTATCCCCCAGCCCATCCACCCCAGCTCTGCACCACCATTCCCCATGTTTAGGGAGAGGGATTGGAAAAGCCAGGGAATAAGCCCCTGTCCCTGCAGCCACAACCAACCTCCTTCACGTGCTGGGGACCCCAGGGGAGTGCTGTCCCTTAAGACTCTCATGTTCTCCTCACCCTTCAGAAGCTCAGCTCGGAGCTGGCAATCAGGAAGGTTAGCCGCCACCTTCACCACCATCTCCTGGGGATGCACTGGGCCTGTGTAGGATGGGGACAAGTATTTTGAGTGGTGCCACCCAAAAAACTGTTCCTCCCCAACTTTGATGGGAGGAAGAGGAAGCCCATTGTATACAAGCCTGGGAAGGGGCACATGCCACTGCAGCTTGACATTGCCAGCAGGGAGGAAAGCCACAGGGAAGCCATCCAGCTCTTTCCACCTTTCTTAACACCCATCTGCTGAACACGATGTGCCCCCATCCCAACCCCCTGTGCCTGGCAGCCCTGTCCCCAGCACGGTGACACGAGCCAGGCAGTGGTTCAGGATGACTTGGAGCCCTTTGGGGAGGCCCTGTGAGCAGAAGGGTTACCTTGGTCAACAGGGTCAGGGGCTTTGGGAGCCACAGAGCTGGACAGGTCTTCCAGCAGAAGCCTGGAGATGTCGGTGAGGATTTCAGTGATGGGCTTGACCACACCAGCCACATCAAAATCCATCGGTAGCAGTGCCTCTGGGCTCTCCAGAGATGGGAGCAGGGGGAATTCCTGTGGACAGACACAGAGATGCATGCACTGGCCTAGGGAGGATCACAAGCTCTGAATCTCATCCACATGCCAGTGGATGATGGGGGCACCCCCAAAACATCTGCTGTCAGCTGTGGCTGGTGCGCAGGGTCAGGGCACAGTTGCAGGGTGAGCATGAAGCTGTGGGAGCAGAGGAGCAGTGGCACAAGACTCTTTTGCTGGTGGTGGAAGAGGCTTGTGGAGTGGTTTTGGGGGTGGGAGATGCTGCCCATGGTGCTGTGGGCAGCAGCATCCACTCTGATTCAGCATTGTCCCCCAACTTTTTAGGGACTCCTCTCAAAAGCAGCTCTTCCCTGCAGCTCCATTACATCCCAGAGCCATGATGAGAATGTGTTTCTCCTGGGGAAAAGGCTGACCAAGTGTCTGCCCTCACCAAAAGGGCATGGGAAGGGACATAGCACCAGGAAGCTGAGGCTACCCCATCCCTGGCAGTGTTCAAAGCCAGGTTGGACACAGGGGCTTGGAGCAACCTGCTCAAGTGGAACGTGGCCCTGCCCGTGGCAGGGGGTTGGAGCTGGATGAGCTTTAAGGTTCCTTCCAACCCAGACCATTCTGTGGCTCTGTGTGTATGTGGTTCTGTGGGATGGTACCTGGAGGAAGGTCCTGTTATCGGGGCAGGCCAGGAGTTGCTGAGCCCTCTCCCTGTGCTGGCCGAGGATGTCCAGGCGGCCCTTCAGGATGCTCCAGTTCTCCCCCACACGTCCCAGTGCCACTGCCTGCTCTTGCTCAATCCTGGCCACTGTCTGCCCCTGGAAATCCTCCAGAGCTTTCCTCAGGAGGGCAAATTTGCTCAGAATCACCGATTTGAGCCCCTCGGAAGAGTCCTGGGTGGGGAGGCGGTGTGAGAACTGGCACACTCCCACCCCTGCACCCAGCACAGAGGCAGCCACAGTGTTACCTTGATGCTGCGTGTTCGCTCCTCCAGCTCCTTCATCACCTGCTTGATCCTCTCCGATTCCTTCTGGGCTTTTTCCATGTACTCTTCCAAAAGGCCCTGTGAAGTGAGGCACCAATGTACTGTGGTGCAGTAAGTTGCTGCCCACCTGGCCCCTGGGAGCCCTTTCCAGGCTGCATGACAAGGCCCACAGGGAAGGAGAAGGCTTGTGTAGGGGAGAGGCTGCATCCAGAGTCACTGAGAAGTGAAATCCTGAGCTGTTTTTCTCCCCTTTTTAAACTTTTCCCTCTAGATCAGTGGGTCACAAACACATAGGGCACTATTCATCTGGTGCTGCTGGATTTACTGAATTCTCTGCTGCTCTTGACAGCCCCAAAATTCTCAGGGAGCAGCTGGGTGCTGTTGACATAGAATCCTAGAATGGCTTAGGTTGGACAAGAGCCTAAAGCTCATCCACTTCTAAGCCCCTGCCATTTGCAGGGACACCTTCCACTAGAATAGGTTGCTCCAAGCCCCTGTGTCCAAGCTGGCCTTGAACACTGCCAGGGATGGGTCAGCCACAGCTTCTCTGGGCACCCTGTGCCAGCGCCTCAGCACCCTCCCAGGGAAGAACTTCTGCCTCAGAGCTCATCTCAGTCTCCCTGCTGTCAGTTCAAAGCCATTCCCCCTTGTCCTGTCACATCTCCTTGACCAAAGCACATGCCAGTCCCCCATTCAGCTGAGGCCAGGCACAGGGCAGCACAGGGGCACACAGTGTCCCCACAGCAGGGCACAGGACAGCGCAGGTGGGTGTTGTACCATGCCCAAGCTGCTACAACTGCCCCTGCTTGACCCCCTCATCGCCCCAGTCCTGCCACCCATCGTCCCCACCTGCTGTTTTGAGCGCTCCTCCTCGAAGAGCACACGTTGGTGCCGCTGGCACTGCCACACCGTGCAGACACAGCAGATACACCGCTGCTCATCCTTGCAGTACAGCTCCAGTGGGTGCCTGTGCTGTGGGCACAGCTCGCCGCTGGCCACCTTGCACCTCTCTGTGCCCAAGACCCACGCCTCACCACCCCGTGCCAGCTCCACCACGCTGCACAGGGTGACATTCTTCTCCAGCTCTGGGCGTTGGCTGAAGCCCCTGCGGCACTCGGGGCATGTGTAGCCGCTCTCTGCCCAGGTGGGTTCCTGCTCTTGCTTTTGCCAGTGGTTGCTGATGCAGCACTTGCAGAAGTTGTGCCCACAGAGCAAGGTCACAGGCACCCTGAACAGCTCCAGGCAGATGGAGCACACTAGCTTCTCCTCCAGCGTCTGCGAGATGGGTGATGCCATCCTGCCTGCACCATGGATCGGGGTGACAGGGGAAAGAAGCTGGGGAAATAGAAACTCAGTTGCTCAGAGGAGGAAGAGATGATGACGCTGAGCCGAGAGGCAGGTCAGAGCTCTGAGCCAGGCATGCTCTTAAAGGAGACACCCAGTGGGTGCTCCCTCACCATGCTGACTGTGCCACATGCTTGCAAGATGATGATGAGGGTTTGCAGCTGCACCTCCCAGAGAGAGTGAGGTCTGTGAAGCACAGCAGGAGGCCCTGGAGAATTGAACACTGCAGCAACATCACAGGCAGACAGATGCAAGTGGCTGACAAGCATCAGAGCAATGTGTATTTTGCTGCATGCATTGCATGGGTACACATATGATGTATAGCTTGATTTCACTCCTTTTTTGCCCTTTGAGGGAACTTCCTGGCATCCTCACCTCTCCTGAGCAGAATATGGCAGTCCTCCCTGGCAGAGAGACTGCAGTACAGTGCTCCTGACATCATCCAGTCACAGAACCTGCAGATAGGGGAACCCACTGCTACTGCAGCCATGTCACCTCCCTCTGCAGTGACAAGGGCTATGACACATGCCAGCAGCCAGCCATGGCTACATTCTGTATCTTTCCATTTTCAACTACAGCTCTTGCTGTTTGCACATGCCCTCGTGCACACCCACCACTCCTTTTCCTACTAAGTTCCTTGCAACACCTGTGCATGTCAGTACTCCAAATACAGGAAAGATATCATTTGAGCAATCAGCCCCTGCTCAGGTGGAGTATTCTGCCTGGAGGTGGTAGTGATGCCCATGCACCGCATACCTTCACCTTGCCTTCAGGAGAAAAAGCTCCCAACCTTACAACCCAAACCTTATCTCCTTACCTATGCAGATATGATCTTCAGGGAGCTGGCAAGTCATAGAATCCCAGACTGGTTTGGGTTGAAAGGGACCTTAAAGCTCATCCAGTTCCAAGCCCCTACCACAGGCAGGGACACCTTCCACTAGAGCAGGTTGCTCCAAGCCCCATCCCACCTGGCCTTGAACACTGCCAGGGATGGGGCAGCCACAGCTTCTCTGGGCAACCTGTGCCAGTGCCTCACCACCCCCACAGGGAAGAATTTTTCAGCACAGTCTCAGTTGTCTGCTGGAGGCTCTTATTTCCTGATGAAGGGGGAAACTTCAGAAAAAGTTACTGTGAATCAGAGCTGGGAAGAGGCAGTTGCAGCAGCATGTTGGTATTCGGGGGTTTGAACATATGATCGGAGGATCCACAAAGAGCCCAGCAGAAAGCAGACTCCCCCCACTGCCTGGTGCTGGAAACATAAATCAGTGAGGAAAATGCAAAACCTCCAGGAGGGTGATGAGGCCCAGGGTGACTGCAGCAGGCATGGAAACCAGACGAGGTCTGGTGGCTGGTGCTGCTGTGAGAGATGCTGCACAGTCCTGTTCTGCTTGATACCAATAAATGTTTTGTACACCTGCTACTGAGTACCAGGTCACCTGATACCAAGAAATAAGCCGTACGACACAACAAGGAATGGATGGTTTGAGCACAGTCCCACCCCCAGCACTTTGTACAATAATAGTTAACAAGGTATCCCAACTTTGTCCCTAAGTGGGGGGTGAAAATTTGACACCAGATCGCAGGGACAGATGGATGGGTTTGTACTCCTCACCCTCCCCAGAAGGGACACTTTTTGGTAAAGACTCACGTCCTTGGCTATGCCGAGTGTTTTGACCCAGGAAATTAAGGTTCTTACACGATCATATTGTTAGTGCACCTCGCTGAGCTCCTCAGCTCTGTGCCAGCTGGCCAAAATAATAAGCTCTCCCAATAAAGACACCTCTTGCCAGCCTCACTCAGGGCATTTAATCAAACCCGTCTCTAAGAGAACTGCACAAATGAAAGCCAACACAGTCCTGAACTGCAGCACTCCAAGAGAAGGAAATCCAGGCTGGCCTGGCTCTGTTTGTTCCACAAACAGGCAACAGCGGAACTGTGATCCCTGTAGAGAAGCAAAGCAGGGCATCTCTGGGAGGACTCTAGCCTGCAACCCATACTGATCAGCTCTCCTACAGAATGAGTAGCAAAATTTCAGCCTGGCCATGGATTTGCTTTCATCCAACTTTACTTAAGTAGCATTTTGACCACACAGCTGCCAGCATTGCAAGCCCTGTTACCCTCAGCTGCACGCTTCCCAGCGCTGCCAGCACAGGGGAACAAGGAGCTGAGGGGCTGAGACTGTTGTCTCCCTCCAGAGGTGGAGATGGCTCCCAGCTGTGTGAACGCAGGAACATTGACAGCCCCATCTGCCTGGCCGGCACCCAGCCTATGCCCAAGCGCTGCAGGAAGTGGCCGGGCCCCTAGTAAATGCCATAGGTGGGCTCCAGGGTGTTTCGGTATCTGTCCAGGTACCTCAGAGGCTGGTGGCGTGGGAACTTCAGCTGCGGAGGATGGTAAACAGGCGGCCGCACAAATTCAAACACAGGCTCTCTCATATCTGGAAAGGAGTAATGCAGAATGTCAGCAAGATGGCTCAGACCCAAACCCCAGACACCTCCCCCTTTACCAGCAAGGGCCCCCAAGTGCACACAGGACCAGGGTTGGTCAAGCATGTGCTGGTGAAGGCTCTGTCAGTGTTATTTTAAAATGCTCAATCGAAACATTGCTTGAGAGGCTGTTTTAGACTGCTGTTTGTTTGGGGGATGATGGCTCAGTAAGTACCCAGTCTGTGCTGTAACAGATCCTAGACAAGTGCCAAGAGCAAGTGCAAGCCTCCAGCCACAGCTCACTCACCAACCCTGTGCGCTACTCACAGGGCCATGTCCCAGTCCACCAACAGGCTCCCTCCAGCACCCCTGAGCGCTACATTGCTTACTGAGAAGCTGATGGAAGACCCAAGTAACGGAGCTGTCCCACTGACACTGGAAAAATGCCAGCCCTGCAGGAGTCATTGCATCCTCATGCTTTCGGTAGAAGTCATATGTGCTAAAGGTTCGCATCTTGAGGCTGTGGCTGGAAACAAGACACAAGCACATATGAGGTAAACCTCTTTTCCTGTAGCATCCTCGTAGGCAACTACTTCCCCACATCACCTCAGAGTCTATAAAACAGAGGTGTATAACCTCTCTTCTTCCCTGTGAGGGTGGTGAGGCACTAGCACAGGTTGCCCAGAGAAGCTGTGGCTGCCCCATCCCTGGCAGTGTTCAAGGCCAGGTGGGACGAGACTTGGAGCAGCCTGGTCTAGTGGAAGGTGTCACTGCCACTGGCAGTGGCCTGGAACTGGATGAGCTTGAAAGTCCCTTTCAACTCAAACCTTTCTAGAGTTCTATGAAAAGGAAGTGACCAAAAGAAAATCTTGCAGCTTCTCCAGCTCTGTGCACATTCCAACCCCATGCAGGACAAACCACTTTCTTAACAACCTGTTTAAAGCAACAGGACTCCACAGTGCTTGCAGGGCTGGGATTGTGGCTTCAGGTGACACAAAAACTCAAACCAGCTGCAAACAACCCTGCAGATCAAAAGGAACTGCTCTCCTACGGCACTTACAACCATGTGATCATAACAAGTACTAACAACCAAGCCAAGGGAGTGCAAAACTGCCCAGTGAAACCCTGAATTACCATGGCATCGGCCGAACATCCTTGCTGAAATCTATGAGGCAGTCTTGCTTGAAGAGGAGGAAGATGAAGCGATGGTAGCCAGTTCCCATGGCAGGGAAGGGCGGAAAGTAGTGGCAGATCTCCTTACCCAATTTAATGTCATTGCCGGGGATATTCGTCCTGAATACAAAAAAGTTTACTTCAATATACCCATTCATTTCCCTCCATTTAAACCAGCAGACCCAGCCCAGGATTGCAAATCACTCTGTGCTATGTTTTGACTTAACTGGTGCCCTGTTTGACAAATGAACAGATAGTAGAGGCTGCTTTCACTGGAAGAAAATTCATACTCAGTGATTTGAATGCCAACAGCAGCAACAACTAGAACTACTGCAATGTTTAGCACAACCCAGAACAGAGGGGCAAAAAGGCTAATGGCAGAAGCACCAAAGCAAGCCACAGAACTGCTGTAGTAAATGTTTATTCCCAAGCTCTGCTGGAGGAGTTTCCACCTGCTCTGCCTGGGCTTTCCCTGGGCTAAGCAGCACACGACTCTGATGTACTCACACCAGCCAGTGGAGGTACTCCGAGTCTGTGTCTCTTAGATGTCCATCTGCAAACACACACAACAGAGAAAGGTGACTTAGGGACACCCTGGTGCTTGTATCAACCCCAAAGAGAGAATGCTTTGAATGGAGGGGGCAGCTTGAAAACTCCCAGCATTCCTTTCCTTTCAAAAAAGTAACTCATTCTAATAGGACTGGGCTTAGAATGAGGAGCAAAAAACTCTACAGATGTAATTCCAAGATTAATAGAACTTCTTGGTCATCTGCTTCACTTCACTGTGCCTTAGGTTCAAACAATGTCAGCTAACCTGCCTCCAGGCAGACTGCCAAGGTAGAGAGGAGTTTGGGGATAAACAAATGATGGAAGCCAGGGAATTGTTTCCTTCGCACTTTCGCAGAGGTTCTGTCGTGTCACTATCCATCTCTCTGGGGAGGCTACAACCTTTCCTGAATATGTAATACGTCTCTACTTAGCAGGTATCACATCACCTCTAGCTGTTTTCCAAAGGAAACAGAAGCTAACCAAAAGCAGAGTGCAACAACCCAGTTTAAACATGGTTTTTTAGAGAACTCACTACTCACCTGGATTTGTGAGCAACAAAGTCCAGAGGGAGCCTTTATCTGCCTCATATGACACTGCAGGGGGACCAGAAGCCTAGAAGAACAACACAGAAAGAACATACATCACTCAAACAGCTTCTACTAAGACCAGATCACAATTTCCAAGGCAAAGAACATAAAGTTCTTGTGGGCATGGCCAGGATACAACACAGACTAGACACAGCCATGCCACCCAGCTCCACATGGAGAGCCCCCTAGAGCATTAATAATCAGCCTGCTCGTAGACAGTGATCCTGTTGTAAAGCTCTGTCCTTCTCATGTCCAGGAAATAGATTTCCTTCATCACAGAGGAAATACCCTTATAGAAGAAATCCCCCAAAACAATGCCTGTTAGAAGCATCTGACAGAAACACAGGGGCTTCCCATGGGGGTGAGGTTGCTCCCTGCTCCCCTCACACACCTCTGATGGAGTTACCATGTTCCCATAATATACTGGCACGAGGTGCTCATCTTGGCTGTACTCCACCCTCAAGGTAACCCAAGGGGTGAACGTGGCTCTCTTGAACAAATCACGAAATATCCCACAGTGCTCAGCTACACGCTGCTTGTGGAATGGGCCACTGCTCTTCTCCCACTCAGCTCTGACTTCATTGAGGGGAATAAGCACTGCAAGGAGAGAGAAATGCTGAAGGAGGCAGCTGGGCAGCCAAAGCAGGGAGAGAAGGTGGTGGGGAACAGACCAGTCCGGAGCCGGGCTGCTCTTTCCATCTCGGTATCCTGGTGGTTCTCCCTCAGGATCTTTTTTCTTTTCTTGATTTCTTTTGCCCGCTGTAGCTTATCACACGGCAGGCTGATGTCAGTCTTTGGCTCTTCAGAAAGGGGTGAAAAAATCAGGTATGTAAAAACGTGACCACCCGAAACACCCAGACACAAACCCCCTGCAACATGTTAGAGAGTGCGAGAGAAATGCAAACTTCAAGACATCAGGGACTCAATTCTACCACCTTCCCCCTCCATCTCCACACTTTTGCTCCCTCCTTCCCCAACTCATGGCACTCCAAGCCCTATAGGTTTCCCAGCTGGTGAGCAGGTCTGGTCTCACAAGTAACCAAACTGTGTTACTTGACACACGTCTAAAGCTCTAGGTCCTGGAGTTCCCACGAATCACTTTGTTACTCTGCTCAACATCTTTTGGGAGGTGGCCAGCCTCCCTCCTTCCAGAAAACTGTATCCCATTTCCCCTGAAGACATTTGTGCACTGCAAACTTTGAAACGAAATGAACAAAAACATCAGAACAGGACTAGCCTCGTGCCAAAGCACCTCATCAGCTCTTTAGAGCTCGTTTTGGGGGAAATCCATGGCAACACCCACAGTTTCCCTGACCTTTCGGAGCAAAACTGCACAGCGCAGCTCAAGTACCTGCCTGGGGGCTGGTGTGCTGCCGGTACGTCTTCCACCACCGGGGTTTCTTACTCTCCTTTTCCGCCAATTTGAAATAGCGAGTGAAACTGCGGTATTTTTCCAGCGCTTCCAAGTTGCCGACGTCGACATGTTCGTTGGGCATCGATCCCAGCGGGGCTGCCCGCTTGCAGAGAGCGGCTGGAAGCCAACAAAGTTCCCATTTCA